TCCAAATGTTCATGCGCAGGTGTGCGCACACAGACATTCATCATATACGCACACTTGAAGTCGACACGTGCATGTGCAGGTGTGCGCACAGAGACATTGGTCATATACACACACTCCAAGTCGACACGTGCATGCAGTCTTCACACAAATGCCGCCTCCATGCATCGAACCTCCAGCTGCATGAGAATTATCAAGCAGACTGACAAAACAGTGTCTATTCTTCAGCTCCACTAAGAAATCAACGATGTGTTGATGTCACGGAATCGTTTCAGATAAGATTGATTATGCCGGCATTCAAAGCATCCCTGCTCCATGTATCATTATCTTCACTACCTCTCCTCCCTCGGTCTTTCTGCCATAAGTCGTTTGCCAGAAGACGAAAGTGAACTGAGAAATGAATGAGGATGCACCAGCCCACAGCAATCCGCATCCTCCCTCTTGAGACGCAAAACAATCGAGCACACTGAGAAGCAACCATATACAAGCAAATCCACAAGAGAAGAAGGAGCATCGCAGCTGTCATCAGAAGCTTAATAGACAAGTTTCTAGCTCCAGATGTCGACTCTACTATACAGTCACTCTGTCACATGAAGGAATCAGAGCTTTCAGATAAGATTGATTACGCCGGCATTCAAAGCATTCTCCGCCATCCATCCTCACACTTTCTTCACTCTCTCTTGTCTCTCTGTGTGCGAACACCTGCGCATGCACGTTCAGACTTGGAATGTGAATATATAATGAATATCTCTGTATGGGTTTGCCCTGGGGGTGTCTACGGGTCGGCCGCCTGCCGCCCCTCTCCGCCGTGGAGACCGGGGCGGCGGTGCGCTCGAATTTCATACACCCCCAGCACTCCGTGCGTGGTTGTTATAGGGGCGTGTTTGTGTGCGACTGGTCGATCTGCACTAGCTGGCCACGTGGGAATGGGCGGTACGTACGTATGGAGTCATGGTGCACCACGCACGCACGCACGCCGCCTTCAGGTTGCTGGGGTGGCGTGTGTGCGACGTTGTGTGCCTGCTTGTATGTTGCCGTCGTTCGCAGCGCATTGCATATCCACCTGTTTGCTGCATCTGCCCTCTGCGTGCTGCGTGTTGCGTGTCTGGGTTGCATGTGGGTGCGTGTTTCATGTTGGACAGACCGACAGGGGACTTGGCCGTCAGGCCACCTAGGGTCCTGCCTGAAACCGCTGCTGTGTACGCCCACCTCCGACGCATGCACGCGTCGACTTGGAGTGTGCGTATATGATGATTGTCTTTGTGCGCGCACCTGCGCGCAGGTGTGCGCATGCACCTTTGGACTCGGAGTGTGTATATATTGTTGGGATTTTGGCATGTGTTTTACGAGTCATACCGCTCTACCTACTGTTTTGCCACACTTGAGCGTTGACTGACTTTGCTGCCTGTCTTCTTGCCTCTGCCCTCATGTAAGTGGGTCGCCGATAAGCGCAGCCAGCCTGCATGTCATCGTGGGTCGCCGATAGCCCAGTTCGCCAAGGCCACGTTTCGCCTTCGTGTTTGCCTGCCTGTTTGTGGATGTTGGACCTCTGTGCCGCTCTTTTATCAACGCTCGTGATCTGTGGGACTCTGCTCTCCACACAACAACTTCAACATGGGCGCAGCAAGAACTGCACTACAGCGATGACCGAGAGTCAGCTTCTCGCCGCTACTCAACGCCTCTGCGAGGTCACTCTCGATGACGTCAAGCTCTCTGTGCCCGTCCTCGATGGAGATGAGCTCGACTACTACCGCTGGCAGCTTCGTGTGAGCAGCCTGCTCTCAGAAGACTACGCAAACCTCCTGCCCGAGACAGAACCTGCAGCAGACGCCATCAAGAAACCAACAGAGGATGGCTCCACCCTTACTGAGGACGACTGGAAGAAGGTGAAGGCCCTGTGGCGTCTTCTCGTGTCGGTCTGCCAGGGTGAAGCCGCTGCCTACCTCGCCAACGTCCCCGTCAACAAGAGAGGCAACGGATCGTATGCGTGGTTCTATCTGCGCAAGTGCTTCCTCGGTGATGGATCCGCTATTAGTGATCGACTGCTGGATGAGCTGCGGAGCTTCAAGTGGTTCAGCTACCAGGCCAAGACAGAGCTGCTGCGCTTTGAGGGCCTCGTCAACACCTACGCACACGTCACAGGGACAGCTATGGATGCGCGTGTGCAGCGCGGCTACCTGCTTGCCTCAATCCCGCCCGAGTCGAGCCTGATGCTGCTGAAGGAAGAGGCGATGCGCAAGAACTCCCCACTGAACGACATCAAGAGGGATCTGCGGTTCTGGGGCGAGTCGCACAAGCCACCTACTGTCGCCACGCCATCGTACAGCGAAGCCAGGGATATTTTTAGCATGACAACAAGCACAGCCCGCTCGTCGCTCTTCCGCTACCCCGGTCTCACCACGCCGTCACAGTCATTTGCCAGCCGCTCTCCACCCATCGCATTCACACCCGAGCAGCAGAAGCATCGCACCCGTATCGGCATGGTCAATTGCGACTTCTGCAAGAAGGACCACAACGGCGGTTGGCGCTACTGTTTTATGCGCCATGAGAAGTGTCTGAGTGGTGATCTGGAAGCCATCAACTGGACACCACCTCATCGAGCCAGCAACACAGCCCCCCAGTCGGCATCCGCGGCAGCACCACCACCACCGCCGCCACTGACTGAAGTGAACTTGCTGTCGGACGATCGAACGCCCTGGATTATGTGAGAAGAGGATGTGTTTGAGGAGGGGAGTGCGTTGCAGGAAAGAATGCAATGCATGGAACTGCTTTTGGCGTCGGTTTACCTGCATACATTTACATACTGCGTACAAGTAATTAGCTTCTGTGTGGTCCACGTCTCGCAGTAGCCTGCAAGACGTGAGGAGGGGTGTTGGGATTTTGGCATGTGTTTTACGAGTCATAGCGCTCTACCTACTGTTTTGCCACACTTGAGCGTTGACTGACTTTGCTGCCTGTCTTCCTGCCTCTGCCCTCATGTAAGTGGGTCGCCGATAAGCCCAGCCAGCCTGCATGTCATCGTGGGTCGCCGATAGCCCAGTTCGCCAAGACCACGTGCCTTTTCGTGTTCGCCTTCGTGTTTGCCTGCCTGCTTGTGGATGTTGGACCTCTGTGCCGCTCTTTTATCAACGCTCGTGATCTGTGGGACTCTGCTCTCCACACAACTACTTAAACGTATATGACGTACGTCGCACACTTTCAGACGGGCACAGCAAACACAGACAGAAGGGAACACAGGCATCTGACGCATTGCGCGACAAAACTGCATTGCACACCCTGTCGCAGCCTATACACACGATGACAGAACAGAAGAAAAGCCGCTCGACTGAGGCTGCACGGTGTCACGCGCTTCCTGCCCATCATGCAGGTCTCAGGGACACGCCGACGGCGATGATGTCTCCTGGCCACCCGCACCGCACGGTGCCGACGGGTCTGTCTCAAATGGCGGGTCTGCAGCAGAATCAAGACGAGTCGACAATGATATTGCTCCACTTCCCCCCGGCCGACGTTGACGTTATGCAAACATCGGAATGGTCCGCACAATGAACT